AAGAATCTCTGGAATCATAACCATGATTCATTGTTCTATTAATCATAGCTACGATTCCAATAGGACAATTAAAATAGTCTCTGGAATCATAACTTCCATTTGCAGTTTTATGCACAGGTAGCCCAGGTTCAGTTCTTGAACACTCACTAATACAATGCCATGCAAAAAATACAATGTGGAGTTTGTTCTAGAATCACTTACAATGCTTTTAAAATGGCAAAATACATAGGCATAAATGTGAAACTGAACTTAGGCCAGCTCAATAAAGATGTTTCTTTGCTTTTCATGTTATTTCTTTCCAACTGTTTCCAATCAAATTACACATAGAAAACAAATTAAAAAAATTGTGTATTTTTATGGTTTTGAGAAAAAAATATTGATAGCTCTCCAGATCCATTATAATCTACTATTAAAAACTAAATAAAATGTTTGTGCATAGAAGTATACAGCATTGTATTATGAGTGTTCAAGCACTGACCTTGAGCTGCCTGTGATAGATGTACACTGTATCAGCCTCAGTCAGGTTGTAAACAGTCCTAAACAGAATGGAGTTGTATGAAAACAATACTACTAGCCAGAAAGCAAATATAATTAATATTAATACTGGCTCAAGACAACGGCCCATATCCCCAGGGGGTGGGGGGGGGAGGGTATTCCCTATAATGACATACCACGGGAAAGTAAATCCTGAAAGGAGTACTTTCTCAAGCTTCAGGTATACGAAAGAAAGGGTTGGGATTTCACTTGTTGAAGAATATAAAAGGGTAGGGAAATCTGTCATTTCGGTTGGTAGCAAGACCCAAAAGAGCTAACAGATGCATTTTATGGCAGTGACAAAGTCGACGAAAGCGTTCTACTTTTGTGATTTATTCATATTTTAAAGACAATGCGTTTACAGCAGTTAAAGAAATAAACAGTAACTACAATTTTAAGAAGGTGAAAGCAGTACCATTTGTCAATAGGAGTTATATGAAAGGAGAGGGGTCCTTTTCTGTCCAAAGTGGTATATAAAATGGTAAGGGATTGGACCTACGGGTGGAGCCTCTCCGTATAAACCTTTATTGAGTACTCCTCTCCCCTCTCTCCGTATACATCGCAGGCTTGAATTGCACAACATTCATTATCCTAATGGTTAATACCATTTACGATAATCGCGTGATCAAATTATTTTGATTACTGTCTATAGTGTCAACAAAACAACAGCCTTAAAAGCTATCGTCCCCGGTATCTCTGTTTATCCTCGAGTTTAATTTTATTACCTGTGTTTGTTTTACCTTTGAAAAGGTATAATATGTTTTAGTAAAATCCAACTAGTGGTCTATTATGAATGCTGCGTTCTGATTGGTTGAGCTGCTACTAGGCTGTATGTTACAGCCCACTAGTAGGGCAAAGCGCAAGCTTTTTGGCGGCAAAAAAGGATTAAAGTCTAGCTTTAACTAGCTAAAGTTGTTTTGTCTCGATATTTTTTACCAGCTAGTTGGATTTTTGATCAATAACGATTTCTTAAAGCAGCAAGCGAATATTAACGTTAAAAGCCGACGTTTCGGTATCATCATGACGGGTAGTTGGATTTTACTAAAACAATTATTCCTCTCGCCCTCATGGCCTCTGAGTCAATAGCCCATTTGGCCTTTGGCCTCATGGGCTATTGACTCAGAGTCCATTCGGGCTCGAGGAATAATAATTGTTAAATACTGGGACTCTGTTGAAAGCTTGTTTATTGTTAGTTATAAACTGGACATTTACACCTCTATTTGTGTCATTTTTGGTTTATCTTCATACGTCCCGCCGTTTTGGTTAACAGACTTTGTATTCAATTTAACCGCTCATTTGTACCCTTTTCATCCCTTTTCTACTTTGGAGACGACTTCTCAAACGAAAAAAAGAAAAGAGAAAAAAGAGAAAAACGTAAGGTTTGGAGATTTTGGTTAGTATACAAAGTGCGCGAACATCTATGAGGGGGTTTGGAGGTCAATTCCCTGGTGTTCTATATCTTGGAAACGACTTCAAAATTAGCCGTAATGAGAGAGGAATTTGCAATTTTAAGCTACTAGGGGTAATAATGTGAATATGGCAGGCTGAAATATTTCCTTTTTCACTTTTCATTAATACAAAACTGAAAAATTAGAATTGCCGAGGTGTCTTACACGAACCCAGACTACTAGTTTGATAAACGGCTTGAAAATGTTTGTACTGCTACGAAACACCGTGGCCAACTGTAGGACATGACAAGTCTTCCAACCTTTTTTTCTACATGATTCATTTCATTTAGAACACTTTTGTTATTGTACCTAACAACAACAAAGGGAATACGCTAACGCCGAGAAAAGGCTGATTTTCTTGCCCGTTCAGCATCGGGCATTTTAATGTTAGGCTAATATTTAGGTATGGATTATTATTAGATGTCCAGCCATCTCTTCGCGGGAAGGACCAAGAGAGTGTTGGAAATCAAGCGTACATGTATCCTATTCGCTGAAGAAAGTGAATCGAAACAGGCAATTAATATAATTATAGCTGGTTATGAGTTAATGATACCCAAGCCCTGGCATTTTTGACACGTTAAAACTGACATATGAGATTAATTTGAGGTGCAAAATACCAAAGATATGTAACAATGTAAGTTGTATAAAAGAGTGTATACAATATTTGAGCCAGCAAGGCAGACGTTGCGAGGCATGAACAAACTATTTGAGGCAGTTGAACAAAACATACAAGCTTTGACGTCCCACGCAAATGGATGCAACATTGTTAGTCAACAGCTCCTAACATTATTGGATGTGTTACTGCACAAGTTGCCTCCATTTGCACACCCTGTTGCATGTTATTGGGAGTAGTTGCACAAAGTTAGATCTGTTTGCACAGCTCTTCAAACATTTTGGGGGCCACACACACACATTACACATGGTCCTCTTTGAGTTTACAATGTCTTATGGGTTGTACCCTTCTCACAATGCACTGCAAGTTCCAATATTGTTGGAGAGTTGTTGCATCTGTTTGCAAACAGCTGCCAACACTGATGCAACAACTCCCAACATTGCTGGCTCATTTAATCCATGATAAGAAGTCTTGTCAAGAAGCTGATCTATGTATTAAAATTGTTGCAAGTTACCGCTGGCGATATTCACTCTTTTCGGATCCATAGTAAAGAAATGCTTCGGATCATGTATCCAAATAGCCTGTTCACAGACCCTCTATTTTCTCTTCAAAGTATGTCGAGCACCCATGATAAAAAATAAACTGTGGGGGATTTATTGACTGCCAGCACAAAGGGATAGGGGTGGGGGTAGACTACAAGCAGTCTCCCATTTTTCTTGGTCCGTCGAGCAAAACGCGAGAGACACGCAAATGACCACGCGCGTGGCTGAAGGCGCAAGACGGGAGAGGCCCTCTTTTCTCGCATCTTGCGGCGAAAGCCGCTAAACACTCGCGCGTGCGTGCACTCCCCTTACTAAATCTGAAGAAAAAGAGAGACTGGTCGCAGTCTAGGGTGGGGGAAGAGGAAAATAGACAATTTATTTTTCTTTCTCGCACACGCCGATGTTTTCCAAAACAACGAAAAGAAAAATAAATCAACGTCTGTGTACCGGCTAGTATCCAAAGTATCCGGTTTTGAATATGATCCAAAGAATCCTCCTCCATTTCTCGTGTATCGTTCGTTTATCGTTTCGTTTCTCGTGTATCGCGGCGAAAGCCGCTCGACGCTCGCACGTGCGTGCGGTGTAGGGTGGGGGAAGAAGAAAATAGACGATTTATCTTGCTTTCTCGCGCACGCCGATGTTTTCCAAAACAACGAAAAGAAAAATAAATCAACGTCTGTGTACCGGCTAGTATCCAAAGTATCCGGTTTTGAATATGATCCAAAGAATCCTCCTCCGTTGTGGATCGTTTTTGGATTAAAAATCCCGATTTCGATCTTAGTAAAGAAACACACCCTTATTCTATTTCAGTTTACCTTTTAACTGACGATAAAACATCAGTGTTAGAAATATTAAGTGCGTGACAATTTTATCATATTGATCATTTAGCTATTTTGGAGATAATCAAGTACCAAAGACGTCAATCAAATGATTTGTAACTTTAGATTTTTCAACAGTATATGTGTTCAATATAGATTCTTCGCTTCACTCGAGACTAGAGCAGCTTTCGGGACGGTTATGGGTGTGACTTTTTCACTGTGACTTTTTAATTAAACAATTTGAAGTGAGTGAATAGTGTTGTGGTGACTACATTTCCAACATCAGAATACCCGGCCACTAAAATATTCCTCATCATATTGTGCTACCGCGGTCCGCAGTGACGAGTATTCTGAAGTTGCTCCAAACTGACTTCACCTACCCAAAACGTCCCGATGAGCTTTATCTACTCTTCCTGTTCCATTCTAACAGCTGATTCTAAAGATCCACAGTCAGCTGGTCAACATCAGCTTTTCCTGCAGCTAGAAAATGGCCGAGATAATGTCCGGATAATGCTGTAATAAATACCTACAGGCCCTTTTCTTTATGAAGTCAGGCCAAGGGAAGAACCAAGGCATCACTACTATCAATTCCGTGTTTTTCTATGAATTACAATACTACTTATTGGCGTAAAATTCGCAACGAGACATGCCGTTCGCCTGTCCGCCATTTTGTTCTCATGAGCTTGTTGTTGAGAATGACGTCAGATTGTCCCAGCAGACCTTTCGCGCGATGTAAAACTGCTGATTTTGCATTTTGGGCAGAACAGAAAGTTCGAGAAACGTCTCGTTTTTTCACGAAAAAACCTAAAGAAGTATATTTTTGTCCAGTCAGATTTTGTCAGGATGAATCAGCTACCAGTCATACTTACGAAGGTCTGACAGATTATTTAATTTTAGCAACGATCGATGGTTCGAGAAGAAATCTTTTTTATTTTAAAAGGCATGGATTTTGGCTCACCAACCATCAGTTCAAAAAAACCCGGAAGACTCAAGGTATCGCTGAAGATTTTCAAGAAGTAAAATTACAACTAAAGTTCTCGACAGTATGGCCCTCGTTTTCAGATTTCCAACGTATCATCCGACTTGGTAAGCTTCTCGAAGTTATTTTTGTTCTCTACAAAGAGTCAATTACGACTTTGAATAATTATTTTCTGTATAAAATCTCAACTTTTAATATAACAAAATACTCTTTCGCCTGCATGCTTCGATTGATTCTTACTGATGGTGTACTACAATTTTTTTGGTTTTTAAAATTCACTGTCGTCCCCATGATCAGGCGGGAATATCATGTTTTGTAATCTTCTGTTACTTTCTTGTTATATTTTAGGTTCATTTTCCCTTTTAAGATATTCAGTCTTACATGCGTACATAATTGATCAATGCATATAAGCAATAGGACAGCCATAGAGTATCAAAAGCCTATTCTGGAGACTCGATCAGCAATAATTTCAGGCGGTTCGAAAACATTTGCAGATATACACATCGAGGCAGACATTAAAGATTTTTTACTTGGCATTTTTTTTCCTGTGGATTGGAGTTTCAGCATTCAAATTATATTATATATATGAAATGTGATTTGTTCATAGTTTGAATTAACACATCTGTATATTTCTATACGGAACATTCACTAAAAATATACACTACTAGCACTGAGTAAATCAGCTGCAAATGCAAAATCAAGACATCGATGTGTGTATTAGACAGCTCAGTCTCAGAAATCACGCAAAATAACAATTTCCTTTTGTTTCATTTTCAGCTACAGCAGTTACTACAATCAAGCCGTCCCAGGTTATGGGCTTTTGCGTGACTTATGGAGAGACATAGCTCTCTCCTTTGGGGATCAAGGGCGAGACATATGCTGTCAGCAAAGGAAACACTCCGGCCCAGTCACAATCGCTACACTGCCACTCAACCAGTACAAACCAGAAGAAATTTCACTGGATGTTGATGGAGAAAATATAACCTTACACGGCCAGCATCGATCCGAAGGAGAAGATGGATTTGAGAATAGTGAGTTCAAGAAAATCATTAAGTTCCCGGAAGACGTAGATCCCACAACAGTGACGTCACGTGTATCTAAAGATGACAGCTTTCTTGTCCTCGAAGGCATCAAGCGTGTTGAACAGAAAACAAAAACAGACGACGACAAGTTCGTAGTAAGATTGAATCTGCGTGGATTCAAACCAGAAGAAATCAAGGTCCATCTTCGTGGACATGAGCTCACGGTCACAGGAAAACACAGAGCGGAAGAAGACGGTTCATATTTGTCACGTGATTACAGCCGCCGCGTTTTGTTGCCTGACGACGCAGAACTCAGTTCAGTGACGTCACGTTTGTCCAAAGAAGGCTTGCTAACCATAGAAGTGGCACGTGACCCAGCTCTGTTACCAAGTGAGAGAAACGTGGAACTTTCCATGGAAGTTGATCATAAGCCACATCCTGAAGAAAAAGAGCAACAACAACAAGGAGCAAGCGGTAACAGAGAAGATTAGAATAAAAGCTAAATCAACTGCGTTTGCAGATCGTAAGGAATCACTCGCGATCGTATAGAACAGTTTGTCAATTTTTTGTTACATTAATTTCTGATTAAAATTTTCTCGAGAAGCTAAGCAACATTTCAGCATAGCATTTAATGCTTGTTAAGTTATCAACACTTAGAGTACAATTTGATTATAAAATAGTAATTTCGAATTTAGTAAATCATTTTCTTGCGTCAGTTTTTGAATTGATTTATAATTTAAGCAGACAAACAGGCCGAAATGCGCTAGTATTAGCACTATTTTACACTGATTTATTTTGCAGCCAATCTTTTTCCATTACATTATAGTATCATTAGCTTTTCACACCAGTCTAGGGTTGTCTGGCTATGCATTAAAGCTATTAGCAGATTAAAGCTTTTTTTAGCTGTGTAACTATCGACAATATTTTTGTGAGATCACAACATGTTATAAAATAGTTAAGTCATTAGTTAAGGGTCAATAAAAATTGGAAAATCAGGAGACTGACTTTGTTTTCACTTTTACCGTTCACTCTGGCCCTTTTCATCACTTTTCCTGTTTCAGAGACGACATCTTAAAACAAAAAGTCATAGAAAAGAAAAAAAAACTCCAATTAAGAAGGATTGGGGCAGTTGGTTAGTGCACGGCCCAGGTTCTGAGTTCAATAGAACATTTTACAGTTTTTTCGACTTTAATTTTGACATGAAACAGAAAGGGAAAATCTGTTGACACTACTGGAAAGAACGCCTTTAAATTGGTAAAACTGCCAAGTTTGGAAGTAATACGTCTTAAGCGGGAAAAGATATAGTTCCGCAAAGTTCCTCTTAAAGTTTACAGCTTTTTGCTGGATGGTTCCCCTAGCTACCACCGTACAAACATCTGTAAAATTTCGCGGCTTTGATGAAGAGCTATATCTTCGTTAGTTTTCAACAAATCACTCTCAAACCTGGCAATTTTCATATTTTACAGGCGTTCTTTCCAGCGGAGTTGGCGGATTTTCCCTGACTTGTCCATGTCAAACGTAGAAAAAAACCATGGAAAGGTTTATATTCTCTGGTGTTTCCTCAAGATAAAATAAGATAAGATAAGATAAGAACTTTATTTTAGCACGATACGAAGATCAGCATTGCTGGTGGAGTCGTGCATACAACAATTACAAAAAAAATAAGGAGTACTGAAAACAAATGTACAATTAACAATTAAAAAGTGTTTAAAATATTTGTAACCAATAGTTGTAGCTAAAATAGGTTCGAAATTCATTTTATCAGCATCAAATTTTGCAAGACAGCGTTTAAACACTTTCGATGTTTTATCCCTTGTCTCCCTGTTCGTTAAACTGTTCCAATGGAGTTTCTGAATAAATTCATTTCTGGTCTTGGAAGAATGATGTTCTCATTTCTTCTGCGGCCTGAATTCCTCTGTAAAACCAAATCTTTACATTCCTTTACGGTTTAACCTTTTATACATTTGAAGAGAAACTCCGTTAATCGCACTTTGTACGTTGTTTCCAAACTGTCCCATCCAGTTCGCGTTATGACATCTTTAGCACTTGTGTCCCATGGCAACCCATGTATAATTCGTCCAGCTTTTGCATGGAATTTCACCAGGTTCTTTATGTTCGTCTTGCACTCTAAATCAGAAAGATCTGTTTTAGCCCTAAAAACAGGGCCGTTTCGGTGAGTAAAATACAGTCCTATTTTTGGGTCTAATTTGGCTCCCTTAAATCAGGGCCAATACAGTCCAATTAGCTAGGGCTGATTTGGTCCCAGGGCTGAAATGGGCCCTACCGTGGGCTGGAATAGCCTTTTGATAGAGCTTTTTTGGCCTAAATTGTGCTCAAATGGCTCCAAGAAGGGCTGAATCAGACTTTGGTCTGCAGGGCTGAATTGACACTTTGGGGCTGAAACAGATCCTTTTATTTACAGTGTGTTGAAAGATCCCCACACTTTCAGGCCGTATGTAGCTGATGACCGTATCACTTTTGTGTAGAAGTCTTCTAATTGCTTGCGAGGGAGCCTATCGTATGCGTGGGATTAAACTTAACTTGGATGCGAAGGACTTCGCTACATTTGCAGCATGATCTGACCAGGGCAACTTGTTATCAACCTATACACCGAGGAGTCTTTCTGAGGTTGTCCACTTTATGATCGATGTTGTTGCCAAGACGAAGAGCTTGGATAGGGCCAGAAAATGTTGATTTCCGCTGCGATGATCATTGCTTTACATTTTTCTGGGTGTAGTACTAACAAGTTTCTGTCGCAACATTCCTGGAGTTCAGCTAGAACATTGTTTGGTGTGTTTGTTAGCAAATCCATAGTTTCTGCGATGCAGTATTGTTGTGTCGTCTGCATACAGATACGTTTCCGCAGAGCGTAGTGATTTTGGGAGGTCGTTTGTGAAGAGCGAGAATAACGTGGGTCCGAGGACCGACCCTTGCGGCACTCAGTGAGTTACGGTGCATATATCGGAGTAGCATCCGTTAATTCTGACGACTTGTCATCGTTCGGTGAGGTAGTTCTTTAACCACAGCCAGACATCTCCTCTGATTCCAATGTCGTTCAGCTTTTGTAGTAATATATTGTGCGACACTGTGTCGAAAGCTTTAGTGAAATCGACAAACAGAATTCCTACATAAAGTTTTTTTTCTACTGCTTCTCTCCACCTCTCTTTTAGGTGAATTAAAAGCTGTTCTGCTGACTTTCTCTTCCATTAATTTACTTGGTATCCTGAGCTTAGATAGTAGTCCGTATCATGTTCTGTCTTCCTCTCGTCCTTTTTAGAACGCTGCACTGACTCTAGCTATTTTCCACTGGTCTGGTGGCTTGAAGGCATCAACACTGTGTTTAAACAAGCTCGTGAGAGATGGGGCAATAGACATACCCGCATACTTTAAATGGCGCGCAGATACGTCATCTGGCTTCGCAGCTTTCTTCACTTTTAAGTTACAGATCTTTTCCTCGATTTTCATCTGACTAATCGTGATGCTGGTCGTAGTTGGAATGTCTACATTGTCTACTGATTTCATCCGCGGGGCCAATCAATTTTTCATTAACTGTGCAGAAATAATCGTTTACCATAGTTCCTTTTCGGTGTCATCTGTTGTGAGGTTCCCATCGTCCTCTTTAATTGGTGAGCTTGTCTGTTTACTTTTGTTGTTCCTCATGTCTTTTTCAGTAGCCTCTAGTAAGCAGCAGCGGTGTCTACTTCGTCAAATAAATTGGAGTAGTAATCGGCATTGGCTTTTTTCTTCATTGTTGATACTTTATTTCTTTCTAGGATAATTATGGTTTCGGAGACGTTATCTTATAACCTGAGCATTCAAGCACTTGAGCATTTTTAACTCTTTCCAACTAAACAAGGAAGGAATTATCAAGCATATAAAGCTGCAAAATTAAATATTGTTGATTGATAAAAACGTTACGGCTGAGCCCATACATGACGCCATTATACATTCTTCGAAAAATTTCGACACAATTTTTTCTTGATTTCTCCGAAAATATCTATTAACAAAAGTAAAACTGAAAAAAGTAATCACTTCTAGCAGTATACAAAAGGTCTTGGCAACGACCTCAATGAGTCGAAACGAGAAACTACATCTTTCTATTTGAAAATTTTAAGCTACTAGGGGTAATAATGTGAATATAGCAAGGCTGAAATATTTCCTTTTTCACTTTTCTTACGAAACCGAAAACTTGGATTTGCCGAGGCGACTTACATGAACCCAGACTATTTTTGATAAACTGCTTCAAAATGTTTGCACTGTTACGAAACACTTTGGCCTATTGTAAGTCATGACAAACACACCAACCTTTTTTTTTTTTTTTTACATGATTCATTTTTTTTAGAACACTGTTTTTTTAGCCTTCAGTATCAAGCATTTTAATATTAGGCTAATATTTAGACGTGCATCATTATTAGATGGATTATTCAGGCATTTGTATGATTTGAGTAATTTCTGACATTCTTTAATGAAGCGTACGTAAAACAGTACGAACAACTGCTAATAATACAAATTTACACTTAAATTAATTCAAGTTTTCGTTCAGTTCTATGGATTGATCCAGTCACCAGCATGCATTATACTGAAACCTAAACATAGCAAGTGACTCGGGTTAGTAGGTAAGGTTGTAGACGGTTTATTAACAGAGTATGCACATTGTGGCTCTTCATCTGTTGCTGGTATCTAGAAATATCTAAAGTTCACTATAAAAATATAATATTGAGAAAATTATCAAAGAGATGTAAGTAGCTAAAAAGAGAAAAAGGGACTGGACTGGAAACCACCACGGTGAGCGGGAAAATGAAAAACGGGAACAAAATTAAGCTAACTTGAACTTTAGCCCCATCAGTAACTTCGTTAACCACATTTCTCCGTTCTCCCCGTGACATCCGTGATTAAAGTAGAAAAATAAAACAGAAATATCTCAGTGCAACAAAACGAAACGAAATAACAAAACTGCCTAATGTACATTTTTGGCAAAACTAAGAACTTCTCGTTTTTTCTCACTGAAAATTAAAAAAAGAGTAACTTTTTATTCCTGTTAAATTTTGTCAGAATGAATCAGCTCAAGCTAGTCTGACTCTCAAAAAATGCTGACAAATGATTTAATTATAGTAACGATTGATAGTTCAAAAATAACTTTTATCACCTACAAAAGTACAAGGGCTTTTCTCACCGACCAACAGTTCAAACAAAAACCTCAGAAGAATCAAAGAGATATCCCTGAAGATTTTCAAGAAGTAGAATTGGAACCAAAGTTTCTACGACATGTCTTTCGGATTTCCGACTTTTCATCCAACTAGGTAAGCCTTTCAAAATTGTAATTTTCCTTCGCTGCAAGTAATTGAGTTATCAGTAACTAAGAGTAATTTTGTTTTCACGTCGTTTTTTGGTATACAGTATAATGGACTCTCTGAAATTGGTTAAACGGATACAGTGTTTTCTTTAGGTTTGGAAATGTTGAAAACAAATTAGTGGGTTATTTTGGTTTATA